CTGGGCCAGGTCTGATGCTGAGCCTGGCTTGTCCTTGATGGACGCAACTTGCTGCGTTGGGGTGCAGGGAGATTGCAAGCTGTGTGCACGGGGGCACGTGGGTGCTGAGCAGAGTCGCACGTACTTGGCTGGTGGACATGAAGAGGCTTTTCAGATGCCTCTTGGGGACCAGCGTGTAGGCTGCCTGGGAGCAGGTGCTGTCATGTTGGTATGGGGCTGGTCCTGCTTCTAGTGCAARGAGGAGTCGCTTTGAATTCACCTATGCAATTCAAGAACATGTATCTTCAAGTAGGACGCCATGAGCATCTGTGCTGGCTGCAGGAATCTGGAAGAGGCTGTGGAGCACCCGTTAGGGCTTGTTCCTGCAACCAGTGGGGACGTGACCACTGTGCACCCGTCTTAAATACTGTGCCTTGGGAGCTGGGTGTCTGCAGGTTTACTGACATCCCTTGGCAGGAGTGGAGGTTCAGTTTGGCTGGTGTAGTACAAACTGTCAGAGTCTGTTTTTCTGATAGGCCAGAAGTTGCCAGTTTGTCGTGAATCAGCTGTTAGAGGGACAGTTCCCAGATCTGACATTTAAACCATGCCAGCAAGAAGAACACAATGACAGCACAGCCAAGCCAAGCTCATCTTTCCTACTCAGTAATTTATGCAGTAAATTTTCACCGACTTTTTATATTTACAAACAGATCGTGCCTTGCTTATGTCCTTTGTTCAGTTACTCAGCACATATTCCCTGGTATTCATTTTGAGGCTTCACGAGCGGTCCAGTTAAGTAGCAGTGTTGCAAATTCAGATTGATGAAGCCAATTGACTTAGGGTGTGATTTTATTTTGTGACTGGATGCATTTCAGGTGCAAAGRTTTCCATCTCGACATTTGTTTGTTATAGAAGTTCCGCTAGCAGAACTTTAAATGTGCGAAACTGGGGAATTTTCCTTATAGTGGTGTTTGAAGAAAGATCCTGAGGGCACAGTTTCCTGTAGATGCAGTTGGCTAATCACGAAGATACTTTCTATAGTAATTGCCCAGACCTAGTCTCTGATGGAGAATCTAACAGATACAGAAATCACCTAGTGCACAGACAATAGCCAATAAATGAAGAYTGAAGAGGATGTGATACATCTGAAATGTTTCAGAGGAGGAGAGATGAATACAGAGAGAGAAAGGAAGGAAGCAGGAAGGAAGATGACTCTCTATAATAAAATCTTTTACTATAATAGGATCAATTAACTCGTACTCTAGTGATAATGTTCAAGGAAAAGATAGAAAGAGATACCTGAAGGCAAATATTATCCAGAAGAGAGTGAAATTTAAAATCTACCCCAGATCAACCCAGGTAAATTTGTTCTCTTTTTTTTTTTTTTTTTCTTTATCATTTTTTCTCAGGTTTCCTATATCAAAACTCCAAAGCAAGTAGATGAATTTATTGAAATCCAGAGCTCTACAGGCACCTGGTATCAGCGATGGCTGGTCAGAATCACGACCACTTTCAAACAGGTGAGAATTAAAAATAACTCACGCAGTGCCAAGGAGGTCCCAGACTGACCCTTTGAGCAGCATGGTAGTCAAGCTGTGCTAATGGCAGAGCTTTCAGCATGAGACAGAGCCCCAAGCACTTGGCTCGTCTTCTGAACAGTTACATATTGGTTCCCACACGCCCAAGCCTAAGTGAATTTAGCATCCCCAGTGGATTTGTAAAAGCACTTGCTCTTTGCTCTTGCTGAGGGTTACATCATCTCTTCACCTAATATAAATTTTTCTGCATGCTATATAGGTTACCTGTGCCCATGCAGAAGTTTGTGGAAAATCTTGCTAGATGCTTCTAGTTTCAGAGGATGGGCTRAAAGGACAGTCTTAATTATTAGCAGGGCAGATGGTGCTACTAGGTGTATGTGGCAAGAATAAGAGCATGAGGAGCTCTCCTGGTGCTTTTATCCACACTTGAATTCATCCTACTTGTCTTAAAGTGTCAACTATGTTTGCTTTTTGCCCTCCAGTTAATTCAGTTTGAAAGCAGCCCTGAGACCATACATATATGTGAAAAGATGTTCGGATGGTCTGAGAACAGGCTTATATCCACAGCTAATTGCTGTAAACTGAGGGAGACCTTGCATTATCCCAGCCCATCAGTGAAACAAACAGTTCTAGTCATGCCCTCCAGCTCATTATAGAGTGTTCAGATCAAGTACCATGGGATATAAGCTGAATATGTGATCTTTCTGAAAGCCAGGAATCTACCTCAATAAATATAACTTCGAACAAACACTAAATATAAGCCACACATCTGACTTTCCCCAAATGAACCCTTTTTACTGAAAACATTAAATTTATGATGCACTCAAAAATTAATCTCGCAACTCTCTGCTAGGATTTGCTTGCAGCTAACTCCTTCTTATGGATTTGTAGGTCTGGGACAATGTGCTATATTGTTTAACAGCCCAGTACAGGATGAACACACTGTTTCTGGCTGTGGTTTGGTTTACAATGGCCTTAAGGTAASGTACTTCTCCAATCTTTTCAGGAAACTAGAGTTGTTTGAGGGCTCTCAGAGTCTGAATAATTACTTTTCATGTTTAAATAAGAACTTACAAAAATAATTTTAATAATTCTTATTTTAAAGTCTTAACTTTTAATATTTTTTATTTTTTAAATCATATTTTAAAGGCTTTATGTGTTAAACCTTGCTCTCCTGTGAAATACTGACTGATCTGATTGCTTGTATGAAAACAAAATGTGCTCAGGACAGAGCAGGACTTGATGRGCTGTTACTGGTATATGCTAGTATGCAGTTTGTCACCACTAGATCTTTCATTTGATCCAGTCCACGTGCCTTGTATCTCCAAGAGTCTCAGCCTGAACCTGCAGTTCAAGAGAAACTTCCATAATTTTTGCAGCTCTGTGTATTTTTTGGGAGCAATACCCTACTGTATTTCCCAATCAAGGAGCCTATGTGAGTGAAAACTAGCTGAGTTGTCCTGCTTTAGGCTAGCTAAGATAGATCAATGTGCTTCTGAGAGCAGTTAAATATTTCTGCCATACAGTGCAAGTGCTTACATTAGAAAAACACATTAATAAGCCCAGTGTCAGAGCTGAGAATTTGCATCAGAAATGCATTTACCTTAGAAACCTGGCAAGTTTACATGTTGTGCAGTAAATCTTGAGAAAAACACTGACATTTGTGCAGGATCTTGTTTGCCTAACGTGTTCCTCCCATCTGGCTGCAGTTACTATGGCCTTATCGTCTGGTTCCCTGACATGATTCGGTATCTGCAAGAAGAGGCATATGAATCTCGCGTGAAAATTTTTGAAGAGGAAGAAGTGTCACATTTCACCTTTAACTTCACTCTGGAAAACCAAATTCACAGAAATGGGGAGTATAAAAATGACAAGTAAGTGAATAGAACTTGGCTTGATTGGTACTGGAGTGGAGATGACACATTTGGATAAGTAACCAGTTTCAAAGGACACAAAATGTATTTCTAGGAAACTGCTTCACTTTCTGCAAAACTGAGGTTCTTGGCGTTTYKTTTGAACACACTCTGTAACTCAAATTCCATCAACAGTTTTTCCACGGACTTGATATTCTTTTTATCCTGCTTTTCACACCTACCTCTGCCACCTGAACCTTCAGACTCAAGGAAATGTGTCTGAGAAGCTTTTGCAGAGTCCAGCTCTCAGTAGACCCYCTTCGCAACTGCCTGCTGAGGGCAGTGGTAGGGAATAGGTGCATGCCTGGCAGAAGTGTCTTCTCTTTCCTTAATATACACTGACATCTACTGGTTTGTGACAGCAGATCACATCTCCTGTAACAAAGCTGCTGCTGCTTTCTGAAGTCAGACAGCTGTTTGCTTAAAGTCCTTCAGATAATCTACCCCATTCTGCAGTACCCCGTTCTCAACGCAAGCTGTGTCATGGCCCTCAGCTCTACTGTTGTGATTCTCCCACAACTAGATCTGCCTCTCCCCGCTGTTTCACCTTCTCTGTTACTGCTTTGAAGGAAATGACGTTGTTCTAGCAGGTTTTTGTCCTTTTGTCCTCTTTGTTCTGGACCTGCATAACTGCTCTGAGCTCCACACAGTAGAAAACCTGGCGATTTGTAGCAGACCATTTGTGCCTTTTGAAATCCCAAAGTAATAGAGGTAAATTCACTCCTATATTAACTCCATGGAGATCCTATAGCTCCCAGTACACTAGACATTGTGCTACTCAAGCTCTCTTGTGCTGTGTGGGGAAGTCCCACTGGACATTCAGTGTTACATGACCTGCTTGTGGTTTTGCTCTTCACAGCTGGAGCCAGACCCCATTGCCTATCTGGATGTTCTTTTTACCTTAGGAACAGCTTGTCTGCTTTTCTTTGATGTATATCAGATGGAGATTGATAAAGRTTTCTCCTGGCGTGTGCTCCCACATCCTGACAGAAACTTTCACTGCAGGAAGGAGCTGTCCTTGACCATCCAAATCTAGGRCCATAAATTCTACTTCCCTATATATGGAGCAGTTAAAGCATGATGAGATATGGATTTATGGACCAAGGATCCTTGTCTGGCACCCAGATGAAATGCTTGGATTTCACTAATTTCCTTGATAATAGACAGTCAGCACAGTATGGGTTAAAGACCTAAAATTGTCCTCCACATTTCTGTACTACTTCATCTGCCCTCTCCAATTCAATAACTTAAAACCTGATCAAACTACATTCTAGTCATGCTCAGCACATACCTCATTATGATTTATAGCTCCGTGTTTCCCCTCCAACCATTGACGGCAAGTTAAAACACTCAAGCTATTGCTATGTGACTTTCTCATAGATTCATCTTAAGAAAGAAGAGAACAGGATTTTTAAAAGCCTTTAGGAGTAAACATATTATAGGCCATTACTGAGCAAATGCCTGATTGTCTTAAACTTTGCTGTAACTTGAGAGGCCTTCTAGATGGAGCAAAAGACTTAAGTTGCCTTCGTGTTGCCTTTGGAACATTAATAATACCTGCTAGAAGCTAGTGTTCATATAATGGTGTGAATACCTGTCACTCTGGACTTTTGTAAATGCTTGTTTCAATTAAATTTCTGGGTATATGTTAGAAACCTTTTTGTTTGATGATATTTGTGCCCTCTGTAGCTTATAGAGCAATAAGACATGCACTTAATAGCTTTTTATATCTTCAAAACATGCCTACGAATTAACTAATACATCTTTCCAGCAGCCCTACAGAATCTCTCTGGTAGATCAATATGGGGTCATGCTTCAGGCAGGCAAGGAAGAAATGTCAGGCTTCTCATTCAAGAAGAAATCAATCACCTGATGCCAATGATTACTTTTAGCATGATTTATTTTCTCTACATTATATGCAGTCCTTGAACAGAGATGGGTACGAGTGGTACACAGATTATCTCCCTGCTACCTCTAAAAGTCATCACGAATTTTTGCTTGTAGTTTGAACAACTGTCAGAAGCTTTTCACCAAAAGGCTCAATAGACAGCTGATAATGGCTGTTTTGATTTATGCTTGAGGAAGGGGCAGGATATGGAAGGCAGCAAGGTCAGTTCACAAAGAAAATGTCATGCGTTGAACAAAATGATGTTGTCTTCACGTGGATTAGTACTGAAGTGAGAGGATTTGTGTCCACACTGTCTCAGCCATTTTTCTTTGATGTGACTATTCTGAGGAAAAGAAAAGCTGCCAGAAATTCTAAAAGTTCCACCTCTTTAAAAATCGTTTAAACTCATCTCTCCTAATAAGATATGAAATATATAAGCACTAGGTTGGAATTTATGGGGAAATAGTTATGTATTCAAGCAACTCCTTTTCTGTAAATGACTTTAGGAATAGTCCTTACTAATTTGTCTCTTGAAATGACCATTGCACACTGCATAATATAGAGAGGGTTCAAAGCACACAATGAAACCATTTCCTGCCCCACAGATTTATTGGCATGAAATTCAAGGAGGTGAGATTTGAGGACTCCTTGTTTGAGGATTGCTACTTTGAAGATGTGACATCCAGTGAGACCTTCTTTGAAAACTGCACCATCATGTCCACTGTCTTTTATAACACAGGTAAAGACATTCCTAATAGGGTCTAGTCTCTATAATTATGAAGTACTTGGGGAAAAAAGGATGATGGGGATTTTTGTGTTTGTGTATGTTGTAGGTAATGACAATGATGAGAGAAAAACAAGGGTGAAGGAACCAGCTGCTGTCTTAGCTTTATGGCCATTTGGTTTTTGGAAGAAAATCATGGCTTATAGCATGGCCAGATATTTTTAATTTCCTGCAAGCTGTTCTTAATTGTCTATGGGGGCTTGAGCCTGTCAAAATTCTTGCTACCACTAGCATTGCCCCCCAGCTTGAGGCTATTCTCATTTATTACTTAGGTTCTGATTATTGCTTAATTCCATGCTTCCAACAATGATTTGAAAGGAGGTTTCAAGCTGCTCTGTCCGTGTTTTTAACCACATGGCTTCTGATATTATTTGTTGCTGYAGGGAAAATGCAGAAAAACTGCTCTCAGACTTTGGCAGGTTTTAAGGCAGTGGCAAAATGCCCAGCAGTTTACTAGCTCTCGATTCGACAAATTTGGCTTAAAATATGATTTTTGTTTTCTCCTTTAGTTCATATCCAACCTCTGGTTGATGATCCTAAGCAATAAAATAGTCATTAATTTTTTCTGAAAATCCTTTCCCTGTCTTCTCTGTCAGAGGACAAGATGTAGTRCCATGACAGTGACATACTGCAGTGCCCCAGTCCTTGTGTGATGGGGGTACTGGTCTGGGCAATTCCACAAATATAAGGGAGCTTATGCTCAGTGGATGCATAGCATGCAGCTGTAGTTTGCCCCTTAAATACCARTTAGGAAGGGTCATTTCCATTTGATGGACAGCACCCCTCAGATTTCAGTTGGCTTGTGATCCTGACTCCTGTTGCTGCAGTGTGAAGGAATGAGTTCAACAGGACCAAGTCTCTGCCTCTTTCCCTCACAGATCTCTACGAACACAAATTCATCAACTGCAGGCTTATAAACAACACTTTTCTGAAGCAGAAGGAAGGCTGTCACCTGGACTTCGAGGAGGACAATGACTTCCTAATTTATCTGGTCAGCTTCTTGGGCAGTCTGTCCGTGCTGCCAGGGAACATCATCTCTGCACTTCTCATGGACAAAATAGGGAGAATCAAGATGATTGGTGAGTTGGGATGGCAGATGTGTGGCACGATTTGTGAGTATGAGCAAATAGTCAAGGTCGGTGTGAAGATCTSTCTGTATCTACATGTATTTCATACAAATGGAGCAGATTCAGATAGAAATGAGTTGCTCCCATATCAGATGGAGCAGAAAGGTAAAATGTCCMAAGGGTAAAGCACCATGCTGCAACTGAGCACAATTTGGGTCTGCTTCTGCAAGCAGTCTGTTGTAAGGCACTGGGCAAGTTACCTGCTTCTCCCATACCCTTTTTCTGTACATCTATATAATCTCGCTTTTTTTCCTCTTGACCCTTCTGCAAAAGACCATGTTTTATCCAGAGTTCAGCATGACAGGCTTTGAGCTGATATGGGACTTTTTGATGCTACTGGATTAATGTTGATGCCCATAACATTCAACATCCAAATAAATGCAAGAGCTTTTGCTTGTAGCAATAAATATTTATGAAGATTATTTCCCATATGAAATACAAAAAGCTCAAAAGATTGTATGGTAGATTGAATGACCACATTACAGCTTAGAGGTAGAGTCACCCTTCTGYCTTACAGGACTAAGATATCACCTTGTAAACTTCAAGGTTACTTCTGGTGGCCTTTTTTTCCAATGTTCAGGCCCTGTTTTCTAGACACAATGGGGATTTGTCTTGGGAGAAAGAATAGGAAGAACAATSTGCTGAAGGTGTAAAAAATGAATCTCTTGAGCTCACCTATCCCTCTCTTCTAAGAGTTTAATTAACTTAGCCTGGTGACCTCATTGTTAGTCAGATGAAAAGACAAGCAAGACGACCCATGTGTGTCAGCCAAGTCCACCTTGGGAGGGGAAAAAAATAAGGTTCATATAATGAATTTGGAGAGGAAAAAAAAAAAAAAA